AGATGGAGATATTTTAAGCGATAAAACAGACATTCTCAATAGGTGGAATGAACACTTCGACAACCTACTTAATGTAGAGTGCGTTCAGACAGAGTCCTGTTCACCAAACGTTAACCAAGAGTGTATAGCACCTCTTTCAATGATTGAGGTTGAAGAAGCAGTTCAAAAACTTAAGAACAACAAGGCTCCTGGCCCAGATTTGATATCACCAGAATTCTTAAAAAACTCAGGACCAGATGGGTTAAAGGCCATACATAATATTCTAACATCAGTATGGGAAAAAGAGATACTCCCGGAAGAATGGAAACACAGCACTGTTTGTCTTATACACAAAAAAGGAGACATTCTTGAATGTTCAAACTACCGGGGTATCAGCATGCTCTGCACTGCATATAAAGTCTTTTCAAAAATTCTATTTAACAGACTTAGCCCCTATGTAGAAAACATCATTGGTGAATACCAGTGCGGCTTTAGGAGGGGCAGGTCTACAACTGACCAAATATTTTGCATAAGACAGATTCTGGAAAAGACCAGGGAATTTGGAATTGGTACCCACCACCTATTTGTGGATTTCAAAACTGCTTACGACAGTGTAAACCGGAAGCGACTCATTGAAGCTATGCGAGAATTCAATATCCCGGACAAGCTTGTACGACTCACCACACTTACACTGTGTAAGACCATGCAGAAAGTTAAAATCCAAAATGACTTCTCGGAACCAATGGAGGTAAAAAATGGTGTAAGGCAAGGTGATGCTTTGGCATGCCTACTCTTCAATTTGGCATTAGAAAAAATTATCAGAGATTCAGGAATCAATACCAGAGGACATATCTTTCATAAGTCTGTCCAAATTTTCACTTTTGCCGATGACATTGACATCATAACGCGAACACAATCTGACTTAAAGCAAGCTTTTCTATCCATGGAAAAAGAGGCAGAAAAAATGCAGCTCACTATTAACCAGGAGAAAACCAAGTATATGCAATGCAACAAAATAACTGATTCTACAACTCACTTGCAAATTGGTGAATACAAGTTTGAAAAAGTAAACAGTTTTGTTTATCTTGGTTCTGAAGTCAACGTTAATGGTAATATCGCACCCGAAATACAAAGAAGAATCAATAGTGCAAGTAAATGTTTTTATGGATTAAAAAAATATTTAAAATCAAACCTACTAAAAAGAGATACTAAACTGTTAATTTATAAATGCTTAATCAGACCTATCCTAACATATGCCTCAGAAACTTGGACAACAACACAGAAAGATGAGAATTCCTTGGGAATCTTTGAACGTCGGATCCTAAGATCCATTTTTGGGAGCAAACAAGTTGATGGTACTTGATACAGACAATCAAACTCAGAACTCTATCGGGCCCTTAGAGAGCCTGATGTTGTCAAGTATGTAAAAATCCAAAGAATTAAATGGGCTGGTCACATCATTCGAATGAACAGAGAGTGTTCGACAAACATAATCTTTTCGGCTCAGCCCAGAGGTCGACCAAAGCTGAGATGGGCCGACTGCGTGGAAAGAGACTTTTCAGTCTTAAAAGTCTCAAACTGGAAGACTACTGCCAGGCAGAGGCAGGCCTGGAAGAAGTTGACTGAGAAGGCCAGGGCCCACCCGGGGCTATTGTGCCATTAAGGAAGGAAGGAATATTTTACAATCCAATCGTAATTTATAAACAATTTTCAAACAACTTTACTCCTTCTTAAATTGAGATTAAATAATTTTTCACTGATGATTAGTCACAATCATTATCCAACAAGATATTTTAGTGTAATTCTGTATCTTGTTACTACTACATTACTTTTCCCTTATTTTTATGATTATATAATTATTTTATAAATATAGTTGGTAAAATTTCCATTAGATAATATGATTCATTGCAGCTAAAACGTATTACTATAAATCTGTATGTTTTCTAAATAATTGTATCAATATTACATAAAAAATATATGTGAAATACTCATATTACAATTTTTTGAATTAGGAAATAAATTCTAAGCTATATCAATAAGTTTTTTATTATGCTTTATTTTCATACTTTTAAGTTTGCTCATTGAACTTTAGAAGTTTTTAGATAAAATCATTAGGATAAAACATAACTTCACTTCAGGCTGAAATTTAAAATTATCTACTTTATTAGCTGTATTCTTTATTTCCTTTCCTTTTTTAAAATTTGTCACCCACATTTCTTTTTTATTTTATTATTGAATGAGCCTAGATTTAAAGAGTTTGAGGCAATATAAGCCACACTTCTATCAAAAGTGGCATTTATACATCAGCTTCTTTGTATTGTTTTAAATCCGTACTCTTATAATTCTCTGAAATTTCCAATTGATGACAGCACAATACACAGAAACATCTTATGATTACGAAAATAGTCTTTTATTTTCAAGGAATAAAATCTATTATTAGATCAATAAAGAGCCATGCAACATTTCAGAACCCTTTAATTACTTTTATTTGGAATATCATGAGCATAAGGAGTTACTTTTTTTCCTCTCAAAACAAACTTCATTTCTTTTTAATGTAAGTAGAACTTCTTAACAATAAACGTAGCAATCTGCCAGTTACAAAATTAACCTGAATCAGTATTACTAACATTAATAAATGGCATATGTGGCGGGGCCATTAAATCTAGGCAATAAGTGCAGGAACGATGATAGGACTGAACTGTAGAAGTCTGCTTTAATGACAATTCACAATAGCAGACCTAATTGTTGCTATAATAAGCTTGTTGCTATAAATAAATACACATATTCAGTTTTAGAATAGCAATAAAAAGGATAAAATAGACTCCTTTACCTTTTTCCCATTTATTTTAAAGTACTTATCTAAGATAAACTGCATTAGCCTACAGATTTTAGACTAGACAGAGAGTTTTTGCAGTAACATTTTACATCATTGATAACAATAAAAATTTATTACAATAATAAGCTGTGGAGAAGGTAAATAGGGAACACCATAGACATGTGGTCAACAAAATAATTCTTCTTTTGAAATGCATGGTAAGAGACTTTTGTAAAGAGGAAAATAACTTAACATGTGTTTACCCACATATAAGTTTAAACATATAGTGTTAAAAAGTAAGATGAAACGATGTTCATTTTTCTCTATTCTGTATTGTTATCAGACATGAATAAAAATGTCTTCCATTTTGCCCTATTCTGTATTGTTATTAGACATGAATAAAAATGTCTTCCATTTTGCCCTATTCTGTATAAACAGTAGTTAAATGCATTTCCCACAAAAAATTTTAACAATAGTGGGAAATTAGTAAATTTTGGCTCCTAATAAACATAAAATAACAACTTTAACATTAGCTTTTTAACAGTGACTAGGAAACTTGTCATTATAGCAGACTTCTAGTAGCTTTACAATAGCTTTTACAATTAAAATTTTTTTTAAAAAAAACATAAATGTAATAAGTAGAAATTCTATAGTATTTACACAGTTAAAAGTAATTTATGACAAAAATTTCTTAATTTTTGTAGCTTAATAATTCATTTAATAAAAGGATTTTTTCCACTCTTGTAGAAGTCTCTGAATGCCCAAAATAGTTTATCGACCGAAGGTAAATCATTCCAATGTACCCAGCTCCAACCTAAAAAGGAGAAAAGCATAAAAATCATATTTTCAAAGTGCCTTTGAAATCACATTTAACATATAGAAAATAATAAAAACAATAGAATAAGCACATTTAAAAAGATTTTAAATTAATCCATTTAAAATATTATGTCTTATTCAGTATCCTTTTTCAAGAAAAATTTTATACCATCAAAACTATATAAATGGATTTATTTTTACTGATTTGTTTAATCTCTTCTCACTTTTTTGCATTTCAATCAATATGTAAAGTAATTTTAAAAGAAATAATCATTTGAACAAAATTTAAGTATAAATTAATAGCACTAAACATGCCAATTATTAGATACTCTGAAGGTGTGATTTATGCATTAAAAGGTAAATTAATTATAAATGTTAGTCCAAAAAGTTATGTTAAATGTGTAACATGTATAGAATGTAAATTGATATCAATTTTCTGCACATAAACTTTTCAGAATGTTTTACTCTCAGCCACAATCACCACTGATTGGACTGCAAGACTTCTCATGCTCGAAAGAGCAATCCAAAGACGTAATTTAAAAATAATTTAATGAAGTAAATAACAGAAGGAATAATTTAAGGCATAACTTTATTTTTGGTAGATTAGAAAAAAATTTGGTATACTGTTGCGATAAATTAAATGTACAAAATCAAACAGATTCTCTGATCTTAAAATTTTTAAATGTTATAATTGCAAAATGGAAGTAATTGTTTGTTTGAATTTGTTAGTTGTATTTTTATGGAATTGGTCAAAATTTCCAATTAAAATCAAAAAATTTATTTGCAATTTGATAAAATGACTTGAATACTGTATTTTCAAATTAACATTTGGATGTGTTTAAAGGAAAAGGAAAGTGATAAAAAGATCCAGCTCTTGCAGATATTTGAAAATTTATTCTTTTTTTCTCTCTCTTTGAAATGCTCAGATGTAATGTGGCACTACTGACAATACACTGAGGAATAATTTTAATTTACTAATTTTGAATTAGAAACCTAACTCTAAAGGGTAAACTTATAACAGAAAAAGACTACTGACAGTTATATATTAACAAATACCAACAAGCATATTATATAAAAGTATAATTACAGATGCAATAAAAAATTTATCTACTATAAGCATCATATCCTAATAAAACTACAAGAATCATACAAATTGAAAAATTGTTTTTAAAAAAAATCTATTTTACTTTTTCTCAATCCTATAAACAAATTATTACATATGAAGAGCTGAGTGGGTAAACCAGGTGAATGATATTTTCAGAGTGGCTATAATCAGGGTAAGAAGGAAAGAGTGATGCCGGAGCTATTTTATAATAAATTTATATGAAGGCGGTACAAATAATTCTTTGCCTTATCTTATTTACCACTACCTAATTTGAAATATAAATCATGCAAGCATACTCAAAACAAATAGGTAGATTAGTTACGTTAAAATTAAAGTGAAAGCAAAAACAATTCAGCTACATTAAACACATCCATATTGATGCAACTGCCTCATATTATTTTCCCTGATAAATAAATACCCCTAAAAATATCACTTATCTGTTTCATCGCCTAAGCCCTTTTTTTATGATACATACCTTCACATTTTTCAGGTTCAATATTCATTGGTTCGCACGAATCTGCATTCACAACTTCTCCTATCATAACGATTGTAACATAGTGATAATTTTCTTCTTCTAGAATTGTGTTTTGTACCTGACACAATTCAACATTATTTATGTGCAAACCAGTCTCTTCTAAAACTTCTCTAGCTGCAGCTTTTTCCCATGTTTCACTGCAAAGTTAATCAATTAGCAAATAAAGCAAGCAAATTCATTTTGTATAATTACTAATAAAATGTAATTTTATTAATAAAAGACTATTAACTATAACTAGTACATTAGCATTGTGCAGTTTTATTTAAGACACAACTTTTGTTATTATATTACCGTGCTTTATGTTAATATATGCCAGGGCAAAATTGCTGAAAGTAAAGAAAAGAGAAATTTAAAGCTATATTATAGTATCTTGTTATTTCACAGTATTTATGTGTAATGTATGATATATTTCAGAATCAAATTTTGATGTATTTGATTCTATTTCTTAATTAAAAATAAATTTAAACAAATTTCTATTTGTTATTAAATCAATATGAAAATATTGATTATTGTTTTAATTGGACAAAATTATTTATGCAACAAATTGAACAAGCTACTCCAACCAATATGTATTATCGGTAGGTTTCTTTTATACTTTCCTTTGTTTAGATCTAAGAAGTAAAACTATATTTATTTATTTTTCTTGTTATTTCAGAAAAATTTATTTCATATACTTCGGAAAAATAAATTTTGTTTATTTTGGAAAAATGAATAATTCATTCTGGTAGCCTGTCAGAAGCTTTAAAAAATATCACAAAAGGAGTCTAACTCAAAGGATATAACTTAGGAGAGCACAACCTTTTTGAGTGAAGGTATTAAGTCATCCTAATGATAATTATGGTAATTTTAATATAAATATCAGTGATTTGAGCATTAAATCCCTTTTATCATCAACTAAATATTTGCATAAAATTAAATGTGTTTAAATATTGAAATTCATTGAAAACTGGAGAATACCTAACTAATACTTAAGAAAAAAAAATTCCTTCCTATCAAAAAAAATTTATTTATCCCAAGAAAACGTTTAAAAAAGTTGGGCTTTTTACCACATCACAAAAGACGAAAGTTATATTTAAAATAAATTAACTGCAATGTTCAAAACCAAAAATAATAATAAAAAATAAACATTTTATTGAGCAAATAAATACAAATAAATATTTTCACTGAAGAATTTTTTTTTGGAGTTTAAAATAATTCAATATAAAATAAAATGCATCGTAGATCAAAATCAAGTTAAGAATATAGTTTCGAACTCAGGATATTCATAATATACTGAAGAGGTTTCATGAATCTTAAATCTTGAGAAGTTTTTAAACACCTTTTAAATTACAAAAAATTAGAAACAAAGTTAAAAACAGCTAACAATGATTAACCTCACCTATTTCTTCTACTACCCTCACCTTTTTTTCAAATTTTATTGGTTGTTTAAAATAACAAGTTCAGTAACAATGAAATAACAGAAATGCAAGTAAAAATGAATGCATTCGAAAACTAAGGATACTAGTTGAAGTTTCACCTTAAATGCAATCAACTTGGGAAAACCTTCTTGGGCCCAGATCTTTTTGGACTGCTAGGTCAAATATGATCTTGGCTTTTACTAATATAAGATATTTGATATTGAGAATAAAAATTTCTTACTATAGATTTTGTTCAAAAAGCAAACCGCTTCAACAGACATCTGACATTCTTATATCAGATATAAAACAAACATATTTTAATCTATTAAATATCTAGTTTTTCATTCATTATTACCCAAATTCTAAATGTCCACCTGGTAACTGATAAAGACCAGATCCTATTCCTCCTTTTCGTTTACCCAAAACAACACAGTTCGGATGACTGCTACTGGTAACAATAACTGCAACACCAACACCAGGTCTTCGATCTTTCATAGAATTCTGTGGCATATTTCTTGATGACTAAAATAAATTAAAAGCCACCTTTTATATAGTTTATTTTATTCAAAATATAAATACATTGCAACACAGCTGATATATCATACTTGCGTTAAAATTAAGAGTTTATGGTTTAAAGCAAATTATATTCATAAACTAGAAATATGAAATCCAAACAGTATTTTAGCCGGTGATGAATTATGGTGAAACTTTTATTTACTACTCACGTTTCCGGCTGCTTATTTCGGCAAATACTTGCAACCGATAAAGTTTTGAAGTAAACCAAGAGAAAAATGAACTTAAAGGTTCCGAAGTTAACATCAAAGTGCCACACTAAATTAAAAACATTTAGTTGTAACTGCATTGTTATTGTTGCTGTTTACGTTTTACGTCATTCCGAGTTTCGGTTTGTGGTGTTGTTTTCCGCCGAGGTAAATTATACTTTAGATACTATTTTCACAGGTAAATTGTATTTTGTTTATTTTATTTCCTTAAAACCTGTTTTAGTAGTAATTTTGCTTATTTTTATCTATAATTGTTGATTATGCGAAACGTCAAGTTTTCCTCTTACATCAATTCTATAATCTAAAACGAACTTCATAAATTCATGTGATTAGTGATATATTTAGTGTTGGATTAAAATTGAAAACACAATGTCTGTTGCTAACGTGTTTTAAACAATTTAAATTTGAGCAGTCATTCTTCCAGTCGAAGTAAAATTTGGTTTCGCGGTTGTAAGACTTATAACAGCGAACAACAATATTTTTTGAAAAGTTTCGTTTAGAAAGAATGATTTCTGAATAGTATTTGATCGGATTACTGGTCGTAAGATGGTAAAATAGAATTTCTTTGTTTCCTAATTTGCCGGGAATTTCATTATTAATCGTTAAGCTTTAATCTTTATTCTCTTTGTTTCTCTATATACTNTAATTACCCCCAACCATTTGCAAAATGTTAAGTTATATAATCAATTATTATTATTATTATTATTATATAAGTATATCTTTTACAATGCAATTGATGCTAACAATAGTGTATTTTAAGAAATTCAATGACAATAAAAAACTTTATTTCCAGTACTTAGCACCATAGTAAAATATTCTTAATCGCCATTGTCAGGGATATATATTTCCTGATATTTCTTTCAATTACAACCAATCAATATAGTTTCAATTTATAGTTTAATCAGTTTTTTAATTGAAAGTTTTAAATCTTAAAATCAAAAGCCTTAGTTGGACAAATTTGTATAATGTTTTGCTCGTGTGTAATATTTTGCATATGAGTTCCTATATTGTTTGATTAATTTAGTGTAGGTAATAAGAGTTGCCATGAGTTATCCAGCCTCTACACCTAGTGCACCTCCACCAGGCCTCAATCCTCAATTTATACCTGGAGATCCAAGTGCTCCTCCTGGCTATCCACCACCTGCAGGTTATCCACCTTCAGGAGGTTATCCGCCATCAGGAGGTTATCCACCTTCAGGAGGTTATCCACCATCAGGAGGTTATCCACCTTCAGAAGGTTATGCACCTTCTGGGGGATATCCACCTGCTGCAGGTTATCCACCTTCACAACCAATGGATGCTTACCCACCTCAAGGTGGTGGTTATCCGCCTTCACAACCAATAGATCCCTATCCTTCCCAAGGAGGTGGTTATCCTCCTTCTGGTTATCCCCAACCTGGTGGATATCCACCAGGTCCAATGATTAATCAACCTACTCCTGGTCCAGGTTATCCATCTCCAAATGCTATGCAACCTTGTAAGTTTTATGTTCATTTTATTACATTTTATGCAAATTGTGTTTTAAAAAGTTTTTTACTGGATTTCATCTAGAATAGTTTTCCAAATGTGTTGTATAAATTTTAAAGAATTTTTGCAACTTTTTATCATTTAAAGATTAATTGCTCATTTCCTTCTCACCAAGATGTGTAAACTATGCAATTATGTGTCACTGTTTCTTTATAAAATGTAGCTGGAAAAAAAATCACTTTTTTTTTCATATCAGGATTTTACATGTTGCGACACTTAAAAAGTTATTATCTATTAACTAGAATTTATTCTAATTTAAAATATATATCAAGTTAAACTTATTATACTTTATCAATTTAAACTAACTGTAGTATATTTTTGTTTACATATATGTACTCTATTTTGTTTTATATTAAATATTATAGGTATTTCAAATAAATAAAATTATGCACTTGAAAGTTAACTGCGTAACTGTTCATTATTCACACATTAGTAGATGGAATCAACTAATAGATGGCTAATATTGATGTTTTGTCTGCTTAATCCTTAGCAAAAAGACATAATGTCAAGTGCCAACTATGACATTGGGTGTATGTTTCACCTATAAAAGGTTGAAGTTTTTCTTCAGTCCCATTAGAATCAAGTTATCATATTGACTAGTGTCTGATTAGAATGTCTTGAAAAGAGACTGTATCAAATAACCAGCTATTTTAAATAATATTTTTGAATATATTAATTTATCTACTATATGAAATTATTGCTTCTAAAAATCAGTATCTGTTACATAAAGTATTTATGTTTTGATTATTAGATGATCGAAACATAATTGATGCTTTGAAATATTCACAAAAAACATTGTGCTTTTTCTTGTTTGTACGATATTGTTCTTAAATTATGCGTATGAAAGTTTACCCTATAACTGTTTATTACGAACACATTAAAAGATGGAATAAACCAATAGATGGCTAATATTGATGATCTGTCTGCTCAAGCCTTGTCAGAAAGGTACAACCTCTAGGGCCAACAATTACATTGGCTGTACGTTTTACTTTCAAATAGTCAAAGTTTTTTTTTTTTTGTCCCATTAAATTTAAATTATTTTACTAGTGTCGGCTTCAAATGTATTTAAAAAGTGGCAGTCTTAAATAACCAGATATTTTTAACAGTTTTTTATAATATATCAGTTTTTTTAGGGGGGGGGGTATGCAAATATTGCTTTTTATAGTCGTTAGTTATCTTTTACATATATTATTTATATTTTGATTTTTTCGTGTCCTCCTGTCTCTATGATATAGTTTTGGGATTTTGAAAAAATAATGCTAATATTTCATTTATTTTTTAAGTAATCATCTAATTTATTGTTATTATTTAATTTATTTGTACTCATTTCTAAATATGAAGAAAAAAATTAATTTTCAGCTGGTGATGGAAATTGGATGCCTGTTCCAACTGGTGTTCCTGTATGTCCTCCCGGACTAGAATATCTCACTATGATTGATCAAATGATTGTACACCAAAAAGTGGAAATGCTTGAAGGTATTAAATATCTAATGTCTTGTTGTTAATTTATCAAATTTAATTAGATACATCAAATTGAGAATTAAGTTTTATGCTTCATTGTATATTTGGTGACACTGGTTTTAATCTCTGTCTGATTCTCATAGAATGCATTTCCAATGGTTTTTTATTTCAGAATCCTGAGCTGCCATCATGTGTTTTCTTATGCAAAACGATAAACATTCGGTGCATATTCACTCCAAAATTGCTCTTATTCTTAGGAACATTATTAATAACTAAAATGTAACAAAATTAAGTGAATCCTTTAAAATATTTGTAACAAACACAGCAATTGGGAGTCACCTATAGAAAGACAAATGAAGATACGTGTGACAACTTAGCAATGGATAATGCTTCAAAAAATAAAAATCTTTTGATTCAAAATATATGATAAATACAATACAAAAACGAAATTAATACAATAGAACACTGTATAACTGATAGAATTTTTAATCAACTAAGCCATTTAAAGCATATACTGCTTTAATCAAATTGTCCATAATAATTCAAATTATGGACAGCCAGATAAAATCCAAAATCAACTTCAGTTGCCAAAACATTACTTAAAACTTTACCTTTCTATATCTGCCCACAATCTAAAGTATGTACAGTAATTGTTATTAAAAAGGCTGCGCGGTCATACAGGCCGGACTTACAATTTTAACAATTACTAAGGAGAAATCAAGAATTTGAAACGAAAGAAGAAAGCAAACTCAAAGACTTTCTAACGTAAGAGGCATGAGCTTAAAATCCCACATGGAACTTTAGAAACACTAACGTCATGATGTAAAAAGAAAGTCAAAACTACTAAATAGCTTCAGTTTGAAGGAATAGCAGCAAAATACTGTGTGTGAATCATGTAACAGTGGGTGACCTCATTAATAAGAATGGCTAGAATTTTATCTCCTTTCTCTTTTCTCAACCAACATAGTTCGTCCACTCCTAAGAACAAGAAAGGAGATGAAAGTGAAGCCCATCGCACCTATCATGTGGCTCTGATGACCTAACCAATAAGAACAGCGCGAGTTTTTTTCTCTTTACGATGAACCTGCTTCACCCACTCAGCCATTTCCGAAAACAATCTCTTGCTGATGTGACTTTGTATTTCCATTTCAGCTTTGCGTGTTTTCTTCATGACCTGATTTTTCTCTTTTTTGCTTTGCATGATTGTTTAAACCCGTTATTCAGTTTCTCCAAATCTCTACAACGCAAACAGGCAGTTAATTATTTACAAGTTGTAAATTAGATTTTGTTTACATTCAAAGTTGATATCCTACAGTGCATCATCAATCAAAAACTATCAAACCCACCATATTTTAATAAAAATAAATAAATAAAAATGATTTTAAAAATATACCTATTTCTGAGCAAATTCTTATTGGTTCACTATATTAGAACGTTATTATTGACATTTATTTTTGATTTAACCCAAGTTGATCGCAAAATTCTTTCGCAAAGCTTCCAGAAAAATTTAATCGGCGGATACACCTCAGATAACAATAATTTAACTTTAATTATAGTAATTAAAATGGGCTGCAATGTATCTACTAGAAATTACTGTGTGTATATTTATATTTAAACTTTTAGTATGTATGTATATAT